ATAAATAAAAAAAGGCAAACTTGTGGTGCAATGAAACTTTAATGCCCACAAAAATAATCACTATAATCTAACCATTTGTCCAAACAACATAACTAACAATACAATATAAATACCCATTTTACATAACTCTGAAACCCCAATAGGATGCTATATAATTATAGATAAATGAGGGGCTGCTCCTGTTTTTTTATTGCACATAGAAGTTTTTCCCTTTCAACTTTAAATTATATGCATCTGCTTCCAGGACATGCAAAGAATGATTTGGCTTATCTAATGGAAAACTAACTTGTCTAAAGTGTATATGGTACAGAATTACGAATCATGCGGCTGCAGACTGTTTGTCTTCATGGTCTTCCAGATTCAAAGCCTGAAGCAGCTTTGGCCAGGATTCAGGAATCCCTCCAGGAAGATCAAACTCTAACAATTTTCCTCGACTGCGGTAGAACCCCTCCACGGGTTGACTCTGCAAGGACAACATGATATGTGACGCACAAATTACAAATTGAACCAAAATTAAAGACTGGTTACAGAAAGACTAATGACATAAATAAGTCTTGATTGGCCAGTGTCCAAATGTGAACTCATGACAACAAGGAGAAGGTCCATCTATTAGCCGATGCTGTTCCAGTGGATCAATAATGACAAAGCAATCTCCTCATGCATGGAGAAGATTGTTTTAGTAAGCATAGCTGGACACTTAATGCAAGAATTAATACAGTAACAAAGAGCATGCCAAGTAGAACAGTCTCTGAGGCATCAATCCAAAGCAGGAAGAACGGGGAGTACATTATGGGCGGCAGTGCTTCAGTCATATTATTATTAATATATTTCAAACTTAAAAATAAATCTTCTAGACTAGTTGGTTGACTTCTTAAAAAGGAGTGAAAAGAGCATCCCAAGATATATACGAACTATTCTAAATGAGAGTCCAAACAACGTGCTAGATGAGAAGAAGCATCTCATTCTTAAATATACCATACCCACGTGCACCTGAAATCCCAATGTTAAGAGGGAAGAAAAGTGCAATAACTCTCTTGTATCTCGCAAGCATAGGAGATCCAACCTTTCATGAGGACGCTGGTTTGATAAAGAAGCAAGCTGCATCCAATCATACATTAATACCGGCAATCACAGCCCACAATATACTCAATTTTAATAAAGAGAAATATAAAGTTACCCAGAAGCTGAAGGTTTGAGTCTTGCTGAAATGGCCCTATATCTTTCAACCGTGGAAAGGAAAAACACAAAAGAAGAGCTTCTCTTGGAGGACAAAGGAAAAGAAAACAAAACAAGATAAACAATACAGGAAAGTGGCATGGACTAACAACATTAAAGGGTGCTCAGCATCCCCAATTAACATCTCTAACTACTCAACTGATATGCTAGCTGTAGAATGTAATAATATAAACAAGGCTGAATGCCCAATTCGCACTAGCACTCGTCTTTAATTCTAGGCAAGTACTACTACTAAGAAGTCAGAATTGTAACTACTAAGAAGAATACCTGCACGACCATTTGCAGAAGATGCATGCAAGTAATTGAGCGTGAAATCCACCCACTATTAGCACATATATCCATCATGGCCTGGATGATTATCATACTTTGATCCAATACTGACTTTAAGTCTGTGACGTAGTCACTGATTGGTAATCCTTACTGCGAGAAATGTGCCTGAATGCAGAATTCATGCATGGTAAGAGAATAAAACGATGAGAGAACTAAAAAGGAAAACAACATGAAGTTTTTATTCGAAAATCATATAGTTGAAGACAACTCTGACCTGAAATAGCAGATGGGCTTCGACATGTGGATCATCCAAGCGGTCCTTATCCACTTTATATCAAACTCAAGTTCAGTATTGTCCAAGCCATAGTAAGTTGGATTAAACATCTGCAGAAAACTATGCTCATGTAAGATTTTGTACAGGCTCAACAAATCAAATACTAAGGACACAAATAATAAAAACCAAAGGCTTTTAACTTGTGTCTTCACCTCATTTAAGTACAAGAGGATCATTGTCACAGCAGCAATGCAAATGATAGGCGTTCTGAACTTTACCAGCAAAAAAAAGATAGGTGTAGAGTATTGAAAAAATAAAAAGGAAAATGGTTTATTGATTAGATATAGGACTGCAAGACTTCATCCACTGACTTTATTAGATTTTCTGATATTCAGAACCCCAAACAACCTGATTCCTAGTATTTGAGGCAAATATTCAGAAAGTAATACGATTCGTGTTAATTGATTGTTAGGCAGGCGGATTGTAATGGACATCTACTCCCATCTTTCTTGTAGAATCTGAGCAACTGTTGACTATAAAGTCATGTGTGACCAAAACCATCATTTGCAATATATCTGTGATTGATATTGGAAAATCAACATATCTCTTTGTTTTCCCATCATAATATTCTGTTGCAATATACTCCTGCTAGAAACAGCTGCTGCAAAAGAGAATCAACACTTACTTAATATAAAGTCATGTGTGACCAAAACCATCATTTGCAATATATCTGTGATTGATATTGGAAAATCAACATATCTCTTTGTTTTCCCATCATAATATTCTGTTCCCTGCAAGAGAATCAACACTTACTTAAATTTGTCATGAAGAACAGCTGCTGCAATATACTCCTGCTAGAAACCTTTGTAAATATAGGAACCAAATGAAAAAGATACCGCACAAATTTTACCTTACCTTAATAATGACCAGATGATGACCTGGAAGGTTTACGCCCCAAGCCAATGTGCTGGTACAAACCAATACCTATAATTTAATACATATGCCTAATCAGTATGTAGAGTAAGAAAATGATCTTTTTATATTCTCTTTTCCTAATGTGTTTTTCAGGAAAGACTCATGCTTACTGACGTAAAACAGAAATGCCTGAACCAGAGATCTATCTTTGTCATTCAGACCGGCATGGTGTAATCCAATGCCAAACTGCAAGGTGTGCCTCAGGTTAAAGAACCATCTGCTGGGCTTCTTCTGGCATACTAAGAAACTGCCTTGGATGTTCATCTGACGTTGCCAACTTCAATAACAGAAAAGCACCAAAAAAATCGAATCAACGCAACAACCGAAACCGAAGGAAAAAAAATCCAAGCTTGAGTTGAGAGAGAAGCTCAACACCGAGTATTTGAATTTTGAAGATTGGACGGCGAGTGCAAGCTTCGTCTGTCTTCCTTTGGAAAAAAAAGGACGCCCAGGCTGCCTAGACCCAACCAGGCCGCCTAGAACCTCCCAGGCCGCCTAGGTGCCGCCTAGATCCGCCCAAGCCGCCTAGGCGCCGCCTAGATCCGCCCAGGCCCCCTAGGCGCCGCCTAGACCCGCCCAAGCCGCCTAGGCGCAGCCTAACTCGCTTATAGCATCAGAGTTGTTATCTTGGTGGAGGTTTCAATAGCTGAATGACATTTGATGATTTTCATAGAGAGAGTCCAATTCAATCCAATCAAAGCAACAGCCGAAACAAAAGAAAAAAAAAATCGAAGCTTCAGTTGAGAGAGAGAGAGAGGCTCAAGACCGAGTCTTTGAAGCTTGGAAGTGCTTAATAGAGAGGCAAAATGGATGACTGCGAGTGCAAGCTTCGTGCTTGTATCGAATATATTTAAAGGGTATAGCCGCGCGGCTATACCTTTCAAATATTCGAATATATTCACAAAGTATAGCCAAGCGGCGGTACTTCTAAAATAATATATTTAACCAGTATAGGATAGAGTTATTTCTTCAATCTTTTTTATTTATACCAGTGATATTAGGGAATGAGAATTTAAATTCTTTCCGATACCTCCTATTCTAATGATTTCCTACTATTTGCCCATTTGGCAAGAATAAAAAAAATGGATTTTACTTATAAAAAATAATACGGGTTAAATCCATAAATACAACAACAAAAAATAGGGATCCACCAACATCTTGGGAATAAAAGAATCTTGAATTTCAGAGTATAAAATTGCTTATGTAAGAATTTACTTTCTAAAATGTTTCCGTCGTAATTATGAACTAAACCTAATGACAACATTTTTCTCATTGTACTTGACAACCTTGCTCTTCTGCTATGAGATATATCAATTTGCGTTGTATTCTCTGCAGATAAAAAATTGGATACAAAATAGTCTAATGAGACAACAAAGAGAAGAGTTTTGAAATAAATTGAAGGTATCTGAGATCATATGGCATTGATGTATATACTAACTATTCTAAATGCGATTTCAAACAACGTGTTAGATGAGAAGTAGCATCTCATTCATATATATACCATACCCACGTGCACCTGAAATTCCCAATGTTAAGAGGGGAGAAAAGTGCAATACCTCTCTTGTATCTCGCAAGCGTACGAGATCCAACCTTTCATGCGGACGCTGGTTTGATAAAAAAGCTAGCTGCATCCAATCATACATAAATACCAATAATCACAGCCAACAATATACTCAATTTTAATAAAGAGAAATATAAAATTACCATAAGCTGAAACGCTCAGGATCTTGTAGCGAAGGCATCAGCGCTTCCACGCCGAGAAGTCTCTCAAATCATCTTTGATTTGTAAAGAGATACTATCATGCATCAAAAGGGAACATAGGTATACTGAACACAAGAATAGGGGAAGAAATCATTCTAATGTACACTGGCATGACATATAGACTGAAAATTTTAATGGCTTGAATAAAGACAAATGGTCACAAGTAAATAAGATATGTTGATCTAGAGATTACATCCTTCCCAAATGTTCCAAGCAGAAGCTTCCTGAAGATGAAATCTGAATATAAAAGACATTTCAATGGAAAAAAAGGTTTAACCTAATAAAACTAATCTTTCATTTCCAACCATTACAACTAACCACCAAATTGAAACATGCAATCTCAGTCATGCAATAATATATTCACCCAAAATAATGGAAAATCTAATTCAGGATATTCTTAATGGTCATCCAAATACCTATTATAGAGGACTAAGAGATTTAAGTTATGGAGATAACCCATTGAAAAAAAAAACATAAAAGAAGGTAAATTCCGAGTTCATTCAATTCATGTCATTCTTGAGCACTTTACCTTGACGTGCTGCTCTTTTACCCCGCCCTGTCCATAATCGAGCATATTCTGCTGCATTATTTGTCAATTCCTACAACTGGACAGATATAGAAGTTAAACCATATAGGCACAACCAATATGAGGGGGGAAAAACATGGAAGAACTTTGTCCTACATCTTCCTTCAGTGATGCATGTTACACTTTACAGGGCCTTTTAGCAATGATATTACTAGACTTAATTCAATGACAACTATAATACATTGGAAGATTTACAACCAAATTCCATTAGGTCACGTGTCACATGTGAAATCAAATGCCTTCTCCACAACACTTTAAGCTCTGCTTATTGTATCTCAAGTTTTGCCAATTGAAGTTGAAAACTACGCAACTTTGCATCTAGAAAAGTGTATGACCAATTTATTAATAAAAAATTAAAAAAATTTAAAAAAAATCTCGAAAGCATTGTTAAGCACCAGATCAAGTTTAACTCAAGCTTCTTACTATTCTCCACAACAACAAAATTTAAATATAAAATATAAAAGAAAAGAGCACACTCCAATAGAAAAAAGCAAACCAAATTGTCAAGAATTTACGCCTGCTCTCTCTCTCTAATTTACGCCTTCTCTCTCTCTCTCTCTCTCTCTCTCTCTCTCTCTCTCTACCTTTCCGGTGGATATATGTCATGTACCCTTACGGTACCTGAAGAGCACATCAAAACACAAAAATATTGAACAAGAGCAGTAACTAAAGATCAAATGAATGGCTAGACATCTCATAGGACAACTCACCCATCTTGGTCCCAAGATCGAATTATATGAAACCGTCGGCAACTTTCAATCTGCATGAAATAGTATTATTTTAAGTATGTGAATGGATCATTAAAAAACACATCATAACTTCAAACAAAATACGTTCTGACATGGAAATATTTATCATAGATAAGCCTATTAGTTAATTTGCAATCTCTGGTGTATAAAAAAAGACCAAAAATAGAGGATAATTGTTCATTAAAGTAGAAGTGGCCAGCGCGTAGGTGCCAGTGCCATGTGTCAAAACAGTTTTTTAAAAAGGAAAAATGAGTATAGCCGCGCTATACTATTTCTTTAAAAAATAAAAAAAGATTCTTTATCTCCCAGCGCCTATGCGCCACGTGTCAAACACGTACAGCCGCGCAGCTATACTATTTTTTGTTTTAAAAATTTAAAAAGGAGTAAAGCCGACCGGCTATACCATTTTGAATTGGGGAAAGCTCCGTATAGCCGTTTCGGCTATACCATTTTCTTTAATATATATTATATTTTTATTCGATAGTATGTGAGAATTATGCGTATAATACATGAATTTCGTGTGTGTTATTGAATTTTTTGTAAAAAACAGGTGTATGAAACATGAGAAATACGTGCGTACGTGTATAATACTTTATTAAACGTGAAGGTGCTAGAATCTTAATATGGGTAATAACTCTAGAAAAGTAAAAAATGAAAAAGAGACAATAGTTACTCAAGTAATAGCCTAATAGTAATGGATAGAGCTCTTGGGCTATGGAGAAATTTAATTAGGACACCTAAACGATTACACAAAAGACTTAGTAAATAGAAATTAATTATTTTGTGGACTTTTGCTATAATTTTTTATATTAAATAACAATTAAAATATAATTACTAATTAAAGTGATTAAAAAGGCTCAGATATTACTTAATTACATATATTAAATTAAAAAACTAGGCCAAAAAACAAAAGTAAAGAAATTAATTATATGTTTTTAAAAAATAAAATTTTAAAAATCTCTCCAGACGAAAGTTCGTCGGTATAGGTCTATGCCGGGGAAATTCCCCGGATAAAATTTTCTTTTTAAAGGCTATAGCAACACAGCTATACTATTTGGTAAAAAGGATTCGAATGGCCATCAAGCTGCACACTCGTACTCTGCAAATCTAGATTGCCTGCATAATATATCACTCATAATTTCTATTAGAGAGATTGGGATTGGTAAGCCAAGCATGTGGTAAACATGTGCACAGAGACATTTCCTTCCAAATTTGAGGATGGATGATGGATGGATGATGATATATTGGATGTGAAAGACAGGTGAATCTGTACATTTCATAAATAAAAAAAGGCAAACTTGTGGTGCAATGAAACTTTAATGCCCACAAAAATAATCACTACAATCTAACCATTTGTCCAAACAAACAACATAACTAACAATACAATATAAATACCCATTTTACATAACTCTGAAACCCCAATAGGATGCTATATAATTATAGATAAATGGGGGGCTGCTCCTGCCACATAATTATTTCATTAAACTTAAGTGTAGTTACTATTCAGATGAATCATATGGCTAATATGAAGGTTCACATTTATGGTCCATATATGGCACCCTCAACATAGAACGACTCGTGTAGCTTGTACGCACCCACAATTGGGTCGAATCTACGCCCACTACTTGAGCTCACGTGAAATCCACCAGTGAAAGAGGCCCAAATCCTTTGCCAATTAACAATTTTCGTCGACTGCGGTAGAACCCCTCCACGGGTTGACTCTGCAAGGACAACATGATATGTGACGCACAAATTACAAATTGAACCAAAATTAAAGACTGGTTACAGAAAGACTAATGACATAAATAAGTCTTGATTGGCCAGTGTCCAAATGTGAACTCATGACAACAAGGAGAAGGTCCATCTATTAGCCGATGCTGTTCCAATGGATCAATAATGACCAAGCAATCTTCTCATGCATGGAGAATTAGAACCCCTCCACGGGTTGACTCTGCAAGGACAACATGATATGTGACGCACAAATTACAAATTGAACCAAAATTAAAGACTCTTGTTACAAAAAGACTAATGACATAAATAAGTCTTGATTGGCCAGTGTCCAAATGTGAACTCATGACAACAAGGAGAAGGTCCATCTATTAGCCGATGCTGTTCCAATGGATCAATAATGACCAAGCAATCTTCTCATGCATGGAGAATATTGTTTTAGTAAGCATAGCTGGACACTTAATGCAAGAATTAATACAGTAACAAAGAGCATGCCAAGTAGAACAGTCTCTGAGGCATCAATCCTAAGCAGGAAGAATGGGGAGTATATTATGGGCGGCAGTGCTTCAGTCATATTAGTATTAATATATTTCAAACTTAAAAATAAATCTTCTAGACTAGTTGGTTGACTTCTTAAAAAGGAGTGAAAAGAGCATCCCAAGATGCTGAAACAATACCTTATCATTATATATCCGGAGTCTTTCCTTAACAACTTCTTCAGTGTCATCGGATCGTGTGATAAGCTTTGATGCACAATGTGGAGGGGGAAGAAGTGGAGCCATGTACATGCCAGGCTTCCCATCCTCACCCTTAATGTCAATGCAGGCCACATTGTAATTCCCTCCACACTCACTACAAATCCTTCTTCCAAGGCACTTTGCAAGTAGAGCCTCTTCACGAAGCTTTAGGTTGACCACCAAGTCAATGTCTGTTACTCCCTCTAAAATTTCCTGTAAACCAATCAAAACTTAGAAGGCAAGTTATAACCACAGAGGTAAAATATATTTGAGAGGAGGGGAGGGGGGAATGGTAGGAAAGCTGAATTAATGGGACATAAGAATATACTATTTTATCATACAATAAGCTCTGTTGCCAATTTAAAGGCACTAAGTCAATGCCAACTCTTCTTTGTGTAGCCACTGGAGCCATTATAAAAGAAAAGAAATTCAAACTACTCGGTGAAGGAGCATCCTTTAAAATCAATTTCAAATTTTGGACTGTCCTCCAGAGGTCATAAAAACCTGGAAAGTCCCACGAATTCAGGATTTTTGAAAAATTGCACAACATGGTAGATGTTCACAGTCTAATAATCATACAGGAATTCAATGAACATAAGCCCCAAAGGGATGCAAATTTCTTATACAAATATGCTCAATGAACATCGCCTGCTCATGAATCTATATAACCCAAAAACAAGAGACTCCCATAAGCAAACATATTATCAAAGACAACACAGATGAATTCAGATTTTGCTGAGCCAAACATAAAATTAAACCAAACAAAAAAACATAAAGCGATAACCTTTGAAACCAAAAGAAGCAAGACAGAAGTACTGCTATGCTGGAATTTGGAGGCAGTAGAGTAATAAAATTGTGTGCTTTCAAAGACCATAAATTTATTATTTATGTGCATAGTTCAACTCTACTAACCTCAACTAAATCTTTAATTCCAAATACATTTTGTCATCTACACCTGCAAGATCATATTGTCCCTATTTGCTATCTCCCAAGCAAGATCATCCAATGTATGTTTCAAGCAAAATTTTGATGGAAAAAATAATGGTATTACCGCCTGACGAATAGTTCGAGGAAAACCGTCGAGAATGAAGCCAGTTTCACCCTTAGCTGCACTAGCTTCAAGACGCTTGGACAACAAGTTTATGATAATCTCATCCGAAACCAATTTGCCCTGGTTCACAACCTCTGCAAGCTGCAATTTTTTTGTTCGGGTTTTTCACAAATTGAAATTTTCTGAAAGAAAAAAGAAAAAAAAACAATCAAAGAAAAAGGATAAAAACCCTAAGGTCTAAGGGAAGGGGGACCTGAAGAGCGAAGGGACCAGAAGACGAGAGCTCGTCGCGAACGAGATCGCCCGTGGCGATGTGGGGGACGCCGAGGAGGGTGGAGAGGCGAGAGGCGTAGGTGCCTTTGCCGACGCCGGGGCAGCCGAGGAAGACCCACTGGGCATTCCTGTCCTTAACGTCTCGCTGCAGAGGAAGAGACTTTTGGGTGATGACAGAGGAAGACGCCTTGATGTCAGTTTCGGAATTTAGAAAAGATGATGAACGGAAGCTCCGAACTGAGAAAGAGCTTGCTGCTCTTAATCTTAAAACGCGGTTCAAAACCGCCATAGGAGGAAGCAAAAGTCAATTATTTTTTTTTGGGAGCGGCAGACAGAGAGAGAGAGAGAGGGAGGGGTTTTATGTTTGGGGACGGGAGGACGGGAGTGTGAAATTCGATTCTGATTTTTACCTTTCTGGGATTTCCCTGTAAGCCAGGAAAGCAGGCGGTTTTTGGCGCTTAGAAATGTGCCACGACACGTGTAATAAAACCCAGTGCTCTCCACAAATGTCAAAAGTACATAAATGTTTTTCTTTTCAGCTTTAATTTATTATTCTGTCATTTTTTGTTGGAGTTTTCTTTGCTTTTCTTTGTCATCTGGATTTGATGAGCATGTCATATTTTCTTGGTTGATATCGCAAATGCGACATATTGCCGTCATTGAGGAGTTTGGCTCCCGCAGATCTCAGAAAAGGCCTCTGGATTTGGCAATTCCATGAAATTTCATACCCTTCATTAGAATGAAAATTTGCAAGCAAAGATGCAGTTACTAATTTATAGATTTCAAAAAAAGGGTCAAAAAGGAAATTACATCACGAAAAAAACACTCGAACAAAGCACTAGATCAAATCGGAATACAGTAATAATCTTACATAACATCACTATGATTGAAGGATTAAACATATAAAATACAAATCAAATACACGTGCAGTTATACAAAGGTTGTCGTTGTTCGGCCTACATCTGATCAGACCTGCCCTCATCCTCACTAATTCCATCGCCTGCATGCCTGCAGCCAGATCAAGCAGACAAGGCTAAGAAAACAACGAACAGGAACTACAATTTCTGCTAGATTATGACTTGAAATGAAACTTTATCATAAGGTTTCAAAATGTTATACATAGTTTTGAAATGACAAAAGTGGGATCGACATGTCACAAGGAAAATGTAGCCATTTATACTTCTCTTCTAATAAAAGCATCTATGAAAGAGAAACTTCTTGTAAATAGCCTTACTTTGATTTTTAACCTCATAGAAAATCCATCTCTCTAGCATTTTGCATCGCTGCAGTTTTCTTTGAAAGGAAAGCTTTTCCTAGTAAAGTGAACATAACATAAAGGGGTTCAGAACATACCGCCACGATGTGGTTAGATTGCGAGCTTTTCTATCCAATTGAAGGTTTTCCATGGCACTCGAAGCTCGAATGACATCCTCTGGACTTTCATCACTATCATATCTCCAATTGTAGTCATCTTTCCTGTAGCTAGACATGGAGGACCCACCTCTTCGATCTGAATGCTAGAATGTATCAGTTAAACAGAAACAAATGCAAGCAGATAAAGGACAGGGCATAAGAAATTGCTTTGTCACTCACCAGATGACTGGGAAGATGCACCAGGCCTATAATAAGCACACCAACAAACTAATATCAATTAAGAATTTCAGAGAAAAGGAAAACGAGACACAGTAAATACAAAATACTGAAGCAGTAATGTAGGCTCAGCACCTTCCTAGTGGAGGCAGCCCTCCAGCAACAGATGATGAAGAAGGTCTTCGCATGTTGCGAGAGTCTAAATTGGATAAGGACTCTGTTTCTGAAGTAGCTAGCCTCCTTCCAGTACCCCTTGCTTGAGATAAATTCTGTAGTAACCAGATCTAATGATAAGAAATCTGCTAAAGGACTAATTACAAACAAAAGATCAGGTAAAGAAATTGTATAAATATGGTCACATAATTCCTTTCTCTTTTGGCCAGGAAGTTTTTTACCTTGGTTAGTTGAACCTCAAAATTGTATACTAATCCCATCCTATGACTGATCAAGAGATCTATAAAAAAGGGGAAAAAAGGCCCATAGGTATACAAGAGACTATGTCTTGCAATCATGTGAACTAATCTATACCGAGTCTAGAAGAATTAATACAAATCAACTAGCAGCCTCGATTTCGTGATAAAACATAACAATCAGGTAAATGTATCTTGAACCAAAGAAATAATTCCCATGTAAGACTACAGTCCTATTGCAAATTCTCATTTTACCTTGAAAACTATGTACTTTAACTCAAAAAATATCAAACCTCAAATTTCAAAAATCCTTCAAGCACGTCCAAAAGCAAAGGACCACTATCCCCATTTCGGTTAAGATCATATCCATTCTTACTACTAAAGTCCTTCAACTCAGCTTTCCAAGAATCCTTTTGCTGCAATTCAACAAAAGCAAAAGCAACAATCATTAGCATAAGATGAACAACACAAGACACTCAAGACACTTTCTGCACTAAAATACTTGATTACCAAATTACACTCAGGCTGATAAACTTTTAGCGTATGGTTTAGTTGCGCCCAGTCTAAGTATTCGCATACTAGTGCCGTAAGCAACCTTCCTACAATGAGCATGTGAAAGTGAAATTCAGCTTAAGAGCAGAAGCCAAGATGAAATTACTTTACTTGAACAAGGAGGAGCAAGGATAAGTAAGAACCTGAAGGGGAAGCATGGAGCTGTTTAGCACGATCGTTGCAGCTACCGAGCAATGCTGGAGGCAAGCCTTCTTCTTTCTCGATGACCTTGTCCTCCTCTTCAATTGCCTCAAACACACTTGCTCGCAATTCAGCCTACCGCAACAGTAAAATCAGCCAACGACCCAGAAAAATCATTTCTCACGAACAACAAGTTTGATCATGTACATCAAACTAATACTAAAATATCCAGAATTATCAATCATCCCCTAATTTTGCACAATGGGGGATCGCGTTCAAAAACTCGAAGCTTCAAATTCCACTTAAGCAAAACAAAGGTACAAACATGAAATTACAAACCCTAAAAGTCAACTAAACTCAAGCACCATTTCAAAGATTAACCAGAGAAAAAAACCTCATTTTGGGTTCAAATAAGCTGTGAATGCATATTGAGGGGATCCAAATGATAAAGCATGGAAATGGGGAAAATATGGAGGGGTAAAAGGGGGAATTTGTACCCGGATCTTGGCCAGAACGCCCTTCTTCTCAAGGGTGCGAGTGACCAGAGTCTTGAGGTCCATCATCTCCCTCGTGTAGTCGTCCATCTTTTATGTTCTTCTGGATTTAGGGTTTTGAGGATGTGATTGGGTTAGAGAGCTCACCCGCTCTCTCTTTCTCAAAGTTTTGAATTTCGCAGCTTTCTTCGATGCTTTGCTTCTACAGAGAGAGAAGGAAAGGAAATTTGGCGAATTGAGAACAGTGGGTGTAATAATGGTAATTGGATGAATGTGGGCTCCACTGGAGGGTGTAGACGTGCAGTTAGCCGGTAAATATCATCTGGGCTGACACTGTGAACTTTGTGTTTGGGCCTTTAAATGATATTTTCTAGCCCATAAGTCTATGACCAGTTTTTTATAATTGTATGTCTATCTCTCTTGTCATGTGAAAATGTCAAATTAGTGATGGAAAAACCAAATTGGCACGAACACTAAAAATAATAATGTTATTGTCTGGTCTGTATGGGGTTGTAGTTGATTAATATGACGTGCCATGAATCCTAAGGATGTGAAGACGAGAAAGTAATTTGATTTACTATCCCTCATACACAATAATGGAATACGTGCAAATTTAAGTCGCCTAATTGGGAGAGTTGTTTATATGATTTTGATTGCTCGATAAGAGCTTGAGATTTGATATCGATTTAGATCTTTTGCAATTATCAATTGGAATTCAACTTCGCAATGAATCACAATCGATTGAATGTCATGTGACTTGGTTAAGTCTATTATTGCATGATATGGTGCAACCCATCTACTCACATTCGGGTTATATGAGGCCACCTAAAGGGGGGAGGTTAGGGAATGGATGTGGGTTATGGTAGAGTCATCTCTTATCAGCCATGACCTAACCTCCCCCACTCGGAGGTGCAATCTAAGCAGGGAGTTGTTCTTATGAATTTTTTATAAATTCAGGTGGACTACCCGAAGTCTATATAATTGTGTCTATGCACGACACGTATATCAACTCTATGGATTATTTAACTTAATCTTTTCTTATGAATTTTTTATAAATTCAGGTGGACTACCCGAAGTCTATATAATTGTGTCTATGCACGACACGTATATCAACTCTATTGATTATTTAACTTAATCTTTTCAAGTATAATTCAAGCCTCATAGGTAGAAGAGGACTCACTACATCTTCCAATACCCCCCATACAATCCAAGAATCTTGTAACCATGCATAAGAAATCACAAGAATATACTCAATTTCTTAAAGAAATGGAGATTTATGAAAAAGAGATGTGCTTTATTTAAAAAATAAATAAAATAAAATAACCACTCACAAACTTCAACAACTCAGCTTGAGAGAGAAGCAGAGAATTTATGCTTTTGTGCAAGAAAAGTTTCAAATTTTGACTAAAAATAAAATAAAATAAAGAGACCTTCTGTTTCTCCCTCCAAAGTTTAAAAAGCAAAACCCAGATAGAAAAGAAAAAGAAAAAGAAAGTAGTTATTGCAACGAATATCGTTCTCTCTCTCTCTCTTTATATTCATTCTCATTCGTTTACGAGACATTTACGACTTCGCTTCACTGCTTGCTTGCACTCTCTCCTCCTTCTCCTCCGAGCTCACTCACCAGTTAGCCCTAAAAATCAATGGCGCCAATCGACCCTCACTCGTTCACTGAGTCGACTCACCCACTCGCCACCCACATCTCACTCTCTCTCTTCTTCGACTTCCCCTCCTCCATCATTCACGCCTCCGCCCTCCTCACCCTCCCGGCCCCACACTCTGGACCACTCTCCCTCGACGCGCGTGCACTCACCGTCCACTCCGTCCTCGACCCCCAATCCTCTGCTCCCCTCCCTTTCTCCCTCTCCTCTCCTGACCCAATCAAAGGCTGCCACCTCACCGTCTCCCTCTCCAACCACTCCTCTTTTCTCATCGTCTACTCCACTTCCCCTTCCTCCTCCGCCCTCCAGTGGCTCTCTCCTCCCCAAACCTTCAACAAAACGCTGCCCTTTGTCTACACACAATGCCAGCCCATCCACGCGCGCTCCGTCTTCCCATGCCAGGACACTCCGGCGGCGCGTGTGCGCTACGCGGCAAAGCTCAACGTCCCCCGCCAGCTATCCGTCGTCATGTCCGCTCGCCACGTGGACCGCCGTGACCCGATCTCCGGCGAGGGAGCCGCGCTGTTCTCCACCGACGCACTGTGGTGCGCCGAGGGGAGAGTCGTCGAGGAGTTCGTGATGGAGCAACCAATCCCGCCGTACCTGTTCGCCTTCGCCGTCGGCGAGCTAGGGTTCCGGGAGGTGGGACCGAGAACTAGGGTTTACTCGGAGGCGGTTCCGGCGGTGCTGGAATCGGCAGCGACTGAGTTCGCGAGCACCGAGGACATGATCAGGCAAGGGGAGGCCTTGTTTGGGCCGTATGAGTGGGAAAGGTTCGATCTCTTGGTGCTTCCGCCGAGCTTTCCGTACGGTGGTATGGAGAATCCAAGAATGACGTTCTTGACGCCGACGGTGCTCAAAGGCGACTCGAGCGGCGCGCAGGTGGTGGCGCACGAGCTGGCGCATAGCTGGACTGGGAACTTGATCACCAACAAGACTAATGAGCATTTTTGGTTGAATGAGGTACTATCACATTATCTTTTTTTATCTTATATTCGAGTGGGTTGGTTTTGTTCAGATTTTTGGTTCATGGTTGGTTTTTCTCTTTTATATTGACAAGATTCATAGATATTGTTTGTTTTTGCCTTTATGATACTTGTTTTCTTCATTTGAACTTTAAATATAGTCTTGTCAAATTTCTTCATAGATGTTGTTCATTTTTGGTCAATTTTTAGCATTTGTCATGTTAAATTTTAAATATAGTCCAGCTTCTAGAAGCATAACACTCTAGGGTATTTGTATAATATCTGGGCTAGGACAATTTCAAGAATGTTTGGTAGGCTTAATTGTGGGTATGGTTGATTATGTTTGAGATTTGCAATGTGCATGCTGTTCCTTGAAGTGAGGTTAGCGCGTTAATCCTTATTTATTGTTACAGGGTTTCACGACATATGCTGAGAGGAGAATTGTTGAGGCTGTGCAAGGTGAGGACAGAGCTGCATTAAACATTGGAATTGGTTGGCGGGGTTTGAATAAGGAAATGGAGAGGTTCAAGGATAACTTGGAGGTCACAAAGCTGAAAACCAACCAGGAAGGAGTTGACCCAGATGATGTGTATTCTGAAGTTCCATATGAAAAAGGTTTCCAGTTTCTATGGCGCATTGAACGCCAGGTAGGTTGATTATATGCTCTAACTTCTTTGCCTCATGATGTTGTGCTATAAAGAGGATTTGATTGTCACTCGTTTACTTTGGAATGTTAAGGTTGGAAGGCCTGCATTTGATGAATTTCTCAAGAAATATATTGCCACCTTCAAGTTCCAGTCAATTGATACCGATACATTTCTCGATTTTCTGAAAGCAAACCTACCTGGAATAGAGAAAGAGGTTGACTTAATATTGTGGACTGAGGGTACTGGTATCCCTCCTGATGCCTATGAACCAGTTTCCAGTATATATTCAAAGATTGTGTCAATGGCAAATGAATTTAAGCTTGGTAGGATGCCAAGGGAGGATGAAGTTGCTGATTGGCAAGGGCAGGAGTGGGAGCTCTACTTGGAGAACCTGCCCAAATCTATTGAAGCTTCACAGGTACTGTACTACTGTTGTGTTTCTTCTCTTCAAGTGATTTTCTATTACCAGGTGCTATGACTTGGATTTTATATCTGCTTTCAATTCATTTTTTGTAATTACTTTATTTCTTAGTTTGTATAAGTCAGTAACTTTTGCTTCAACTTCTAATTCATATTTAGTAGTAAACCTACGCTTTTAATACTTCTGTGGTGGGTTCTTCCATTATCGTTTTTGCATCAATAAGGATTTTCAATTAATATATGAGCAGTTATTACTGTATGGCACACTATGGGGTGCACTTATGATGCTGACCACATCTGGAATTTGATTTTTGGGCATAGAATTGAGTGCTTGTGAAGGGCCAAAGCCGGACGCATTTATTTTATAACACAGTGGTTCTTCCGTTACTGACCAGAAAATCTTATTCCATTTCTTCATATGCATGTCTTCTTGTCTTTTTCATTGGACTAGGTCGAGGATGATTTTGAGTTCAAAATTGGAATTTGATGATGTTGCAATTTTTAACATGGTTAGAAGTTGGGGATAGGCATATCTCTTATAACTTGGTTTGCATGTGGAAACATATTCTTTTAGATTTGAAATAGCCTTAGGAGCTCATACCTTGTTGGGTAAGATTCTAGGAGTGAAATAGCCTTGTATTTTTACTTAAGTTTCATTTTAACTCCTTTTTGTTTCAGCTTCAGTTGTCCATGCACTTGTTAAATCTATCCTACTTTTATGTTGTCTTATCATAACATATTGATGTAGAACAGCCCGTAGGTGTATGATTAAGCACTTAAACAATAGAATAGAGAAGAATATAAGAGACCGAGGAGAAGAAATAGAGATCGAAAAGACGAGATAAAGGAAAGAAACAGTAGAGCAAAGAAGAATATCGGAGATCGAGGAGAAGAAATATAGATCGAAGGGACGAAATCAGAGAGTTCTGGGAAAAGGTTTACTCAACATTCAAATCTGAATTTTAAAGAACTACATGGGGGTATTTATAGCAAACTAAAACCTAGACATAATAGGATAAAAATCCCTTGCTTAAAGGGAAATCCTAACCCAAATAAAATAGGAAACTTAAAACTAGAAATCTGGAAATCTGGAAAAGTAGAAATCCTACTAGAATTGGGAAAACTAGAGAATCTAGGAAACTAACAAATACATTAGGAAACTAATAAATTTAGGTCATATGCGTCCTGCATCACATATGTGTTTGGATTTGCAGATTTTGGAGTTGAATTCACGCTTCAGGCTGTCCGAGTCGAAAGATTATGAGGTGAAGGTGGCATTTCTCCTACTGGCCATTGCTTCCAAGTGCAAAGAGCACTACGTTGAGGTGGAGAAAACTTTGAAGGCAGTTGGAAGGAAGAAGTACCTTGTCCCGCTCTACTCTGCTCTTGTAGAAGGCGGCACCGGAAAGGAGGAAGAGAAGATTTTGGCCAAAAGGGTGTTTGCAGAGGCGCATGACACTTATCACCCTATAGCTCAAGGTGTTATTGAGACAATTCTTAGCAAACACATCTAGGAGGATGGAGTTTGAGAATGTAAATCACATGTGAATTGAATTTCGGAAGCTAATCCCTTATGATGCCTGTCGTTGGCTATGCTAATCTCTGAGATATGTAGGCTAAGCCTTGATTGCTGATTTTGTTGAACACATGCATCTTTGTTGATGCTTTGCTCATATGAATGATCTCGTAAATAAAAAAGTAATGCTTTTGTATCTCAATTATTGTTGATATTGCTGACATATTTGGAGGATATTTAACACCCCACACAAACAAACAAAAACTCCAGTTATCATTTCGACTTACTGGAAGAGCTTCGTAGATGGCATGACATGTAGTTTGGAGATAAATTAGAATGTGCTGGAAGTATCCTGATTATTTACTTTTCAATGTGTTTACTAAAACATAGGTTATGTGAGTTCCGATCCACTTTCCCGATTCATGATTTCCTTCATTCAATTGAAGTAAACATACAGAGTAACATATCCTCTCTTTTTTATTTTATATATTTTTAGGGTGGAAGAACGTCACCTATTGTGTACATGAAAGAAAATGGATGAAAAGGTTATGTCATTTAATAGACAAAAAAAGAGTATGGGAAAAAAGTGGGCAACTTTCCATACCAACCTCCAGAGTGGAACAAAGGCACTGAGGAGGTAAACATTATTTTGTCTGAGCTTACGCAAGCAGATTGTGGTGAATTTGCTTGCACGAAAACCACTCCTTTGTACTTGTCCTATGGCAATTGTAAGGATAGTTCATTATCAAAATCTCCATCAGTACCGAAATCAACGGGTACCCCAGGATTAGCACAGGATCAATTTTTAGCCATGAAATCAGCTAAAAAGAAAGGGCCATGAAACTGAATGTGAATTTGCATTCAATTATAAGAGCTGCTTGATCCAATTTCTGTCAACCATACATAATTACTCTTAAGTAAATTTTCTTTCCTTTCTTTTTTTCTGAGCTAAGAAGTTCCTTCTCTCATCAGAATGTAGTCCACTGCCTCTTCTACAGTATCCACAACCTACAGTAGGAACAAAAGGGTATGCAAAAAGTTTAATGCAAATGTAATCAAATGGAAATTATAAGTTATTATGCATTTTTCACACTTGCAAGTGACAAACTATCTCCGGCACCACCTAAATATTCTGATGATGTATATCCAACGTACCAGATCTGCTGGAAACTCTGCATGATTATCTTCCCCCTTAAAAACGCCTGTCCTCGTCAAAATAGAAAACCAAGGATGTCCAGCCTGAGAACCAGGTGCAATGCTTGTCAAAATACCTTCAAACTTCAAAGCATTTAATAGTAACAAATTTTCACCGTAAGGAGAAAGACGGACCTGTTGAGCACCTTTGACATCAACTGAAGGGTTGTCACCAATCATGTAAAGGGTTTTAAAAGCATGCGACTGAGAGTTTCCAGTATTTGTTGTATCATTATGACAATGAGATGGTTGAAGCTGTGTCAATATAGCTTCAGTGTTCTTAAACACAAACGGATTTGGCTTCCCAAAAGAGACATATTCCAAAGCATCATGGTGAATCCTGCAGCAAAGCCAAAAGTAAATTATATTACTGAAGGCATGCAAAGGTAGCATAGACTGCACATGACAGAATAACTTAGTGTTCAATCAGATGTGCTGGCATGCAAAGGTAGGATTATAAACACATTGGAATATGACACATCTCACCTGTTGAAGATGCTTTCAAGTGCAATTCTGAAAGCACCCATTCCGAGTCGCTCAGAAGGAAATGCAGCCTGTATGTTATAAGGAGGCAGCTGATCAGTACAATGCCAGTACCATGTGAAACTTAAAGTTGAAAAAGAAAGAAAGTTGATGATGAATAAAGGGAAGAGAGAAAAAATGAATCCTACTCTTCTAAATGACAGGGATTGGGGCATATCATCCATATAGAACCCAATGCATCGAAGATGTTCATGGGCAGAGTACAAGATTCGACAGATCACTCAAGCAAACAAACAAATCGTGGCTTGTTCTTTATATCTCCAAATTCAGGATTCAGTTTTTCATCCGACATCTTTACAGAATCATAGTTACCAACCTGATATTCAAGATCATCTGCAGCAAAATATAGAGGTGGTTGATGCCCATTCTCTTGTCCAGGAAGCCCTCCAGATCTTAGAATATCACAGAGAACCTAATTCAATTCATGAATCAGCTCAGAGCTTTGGTAAGGACACAAATGACCGCGGTCATCTGCAATAACAAGATGGTAAAAATGCAGTTCCCAAAACTTTATTTTCTACTTCACACACATACCAAAGTTGGCAATTTATGTGGGATTTGAGCCCGCTAGGCCAAGGGAAGCTACAATTTCAAATTCTTAGATGCTCTGATTTCCTAATACTGCATTCTAAATAGTAAAATGAAAAAGATACCTGAATGTCCCTGCCCCAATCTACAGGATCGCTGACAACAAAAGCTGCACTAACCCTGTCAGAATAAAAATCACATCTTGGCACAGACTCCTTGGGGTGGCTGCAATCCAATGCCTGCTTAGTTCTCCACAGCTTATATTGAGATACAGGATCAATATTCTTGAAGTAAGATGCATACTCATCTAATGAGAGAACTTTTCTGCCACCACAGATAAAATTGACTATTTGTTACTTTCACAAAATCTAGCAACAGGAGGTATCGAATTCAAACTCAGACGACTCTACAAAGAACAAGCTAGACAACTTACTTGAAACCATAATCAGACATTACAAGAGCTGGTTCCCCTTTTCCAAGAGCAATAATGAGTTCGTTCTCATATCTGTGAGTAAAACGGATAAAATCGCCATAGCGTAAGATAATTAAAATAGGTTAATACATTGTTTACACTCTGAACTATAAACAAAGTCAGGGAAGTATATGATACATCTAAATTACACATCAATGTAGCAAAAGATTCATGTGAAACTGACATATACCTTCTCAACAAACTTTTAAAAGGTGTGTGACCCTGTACAACCTGCATCACGATAAAAAAAGAAAAGAGAGCTATTCCAAAGGTTCCATCAGTCAAATAACATTCACCAAAAATTGGAAACAAAAGAACGTCATCTTTAAGCTCATAATAAATAATTAAAATGTTTAGAATATTACCTGAGAAGGCAAGATGTTAACTCCCAAAAGTTCAGTTAATTCAGCGGCTCGTCTTGATTCGGGTATGCCACCTCCTATTTCAACCGAATATTAGCTATTAGAAGTAAGAATATACTGGTAAGACACTCAGACACACAAGTAAGAATATCTCAAAGATTATAGACTTAAGTCAAAATTATGAACAAATATCCATTGTTGAACTAAATGAAATTCGAATGAAGTTCTAACCAAAACATAATGAATGTTTCCAATGTGAAAACGCTCAGATGACTTACCATTGGTCAAAAACAGAAAAGGAGCCTTCAAAGTACCTACAAAGAAGCAGTATTTACATTAAGCTAGAGATACTATGAGCGAAAAAGTAAACCATGTCAATGGAAAACCATCATCCACAATAACACAATACATAAACTTGAGCCAAATGAATCAGTTTACTTGCCCAGAAAATAAGAAACAAAAACCAATTTCTATTTTTCTTTTTCTTTTTCATTCTGCCGAAAAATAAAGGAAATTTGTTAATTTAGAGAGACATTGGAGTTCTTAGTACCTGATGTTCCGTACAACTTCTTTAAAGCTCGCGGAGACCCTCCAATGGGAACACGGCCACGGAGAATAACCCCGTCAATGTCAAACGCAATTCCAAACGAAGACCTACAATGCAACCAAACATCAACTTTTAGCTATTTCTATAATTTTCCTACCGTTTCTCGGAAGCCAAACAGAGAATTGGATATAACCGTTCGGGTTCGGGCCTAGATTGAAACTGAGACTGAGAGTATGAACGCGATTGAAGCAAATATGGCGCTCTATTTTTGCTCTGATAAACCTTGAAGACCGTACGGTATGTCATCCTCATCGGCGACGGCGTCATCGCGTTCTCTCTCTCTCTTCTGGTTCAGCTTTGCTCTCTGAGCTTCGTGCTCGTGGCTGCGGTTTAACGGTAACTGTCTCACACGGAGCGTTACGCCGCGTCGTATGCAATTGTGAACCTTACCCAAGTTAGCGCGCCACGTGGTAAACCTAAAGGAGCAATGTTCAAAGTGACAATTATACCCTTGTAATATTAGTATATTACAATTTGAGCTACAAATCCGTTATACCCTACATATAACCTTGAATGCATATATGAATGTTCTTAACCACTTGAGCTATAAATCCATTATATCCTATAATCATTCAAATTATAATTGATTATTTACTTGTTATTGAAAAAGAAAAACAAAAGTGGACAACCAAGATGAGTTGGTAGTTATCAATTGTTAGATTGTCGAATCATGTCATATGTATTTGTATAATGTAATTACTTAATAATTTATCACTAATATACGATTCTTAATATCATAATTTGTTATCATACAAGTCAAGTAAATTCATATAAAAAGGGCAAATACCATTTTGATAGAAAAAAAATTGAAAATTTTATCTTAGAAATATAAATTACTATAAATTTTTAATTTGGCAAATATATCAAAAAAACATAATAGAAATTTTGTTGATTTGGGAATTGACTTATACCCAACATGAATCTAAACTCGACAAAACTCTGACACTGTTAATAGTTGCAGCCAGAAAGTTAGGGCAAAATCGGAATTTTAGGCCAGCAGAACAACACATTCTAGTCCTACCCTGGTCACTATACGCCATTCGCTCATCCTTCTCAAAAGGTGCACAGAGAGGGCTCCCGAAAAACCCTAATCGCCATCTCTGAGTCAAAATTAAGCAAATCTGCACCGGAAGTTGGTAAATTTGTTCATTTCGGAAACCACAGATTGCTCTAGCTTTCCCTTCTCTTTTTTTTTTTTTTCTTTTTTTGTTCGTTTGTTGAATTCGAAGTAGCCATGCCGCCAAAGGCATCGAAGGCCGACTTGGCAAAGAAGCAGAAGGTCGTGGAGGACAAGACCTTTGGTCTGAAGAACAAGAACAAGAGTAAGAATGTCCAGAAGTACGTACAGAATCTCAAGCAGTCAGTCCAGCCCAAAGTAGACCCAACCAAAGCTAAGGTCCGCTTCTCAC